TTAAACTACATAGAAGAACAAGTGACAAGAATTCCTAAGAAAATATTTTGTAAAATTCAACTTTATTGAGGTCTAATTGACATATAAAATTGTAAGGCTATTTAAAATGTACATTGTAGTGATTTGATATACATACACTTTGTGAAAGGATTCCCTTGCCCATGTAGCTAATTAACACATTCACCACCTCACATACTTACCCGTTTTTGTCGTTCATTTATTTCTGGTGAGAACATTCAATTCTACTCTCTTAGCAATTCCGGTTGCGCAGTGGTGTTGACTGTAGTCCCTGCTGGGATGCACTCGACCCTTACTCTCTCACAGCAGAAAGCTCGTTCCCTTTTACATACACATTTCTCCTGATTTCCCCCTCCTTCTGCCCTTGGTGACCACTTTTCTACTCTGTTTCTATGAGTTCGACTTTTACTTTTTAGATTCCATATATAAGAGATATCATACAGTCTTTCTTTTTCTCTGTCTGCCTTATTTATCTCAGCTTAATATCCTCAAGGTGCATCGGTGATGCACAAATAGCAGCATTTCTGTCTTTGTTATGACTAATAGTGGTCAGAAAAAAATGCTTGATATGATTTTGCTCTTCTTACCTCTTATTAAGATTTGTTGTGTGGCCTAATATACAATCTATCCTATAGAATGTTGCATGTGTGCTGGAAAAGAGTATATGCTCTGCTCTTGTTGGATGGAATGTTCTGTAAATGTTTAACTTCATTTGGTCTAACCTGTCGTTTAAGTACAAGGTTTCTTTATTGATTTTTGTCTGGTGATCGTATCCTTTGTCAAAAAGGAGTGTAGAAGGCCCTGCTCTTGTTGTATTGCTTCAGGTCTATTAGTACTTGTTTTGTATATTTAGGTGTTCATGTATTGGGTTCAGATATTTACAAGTATGACATTCTCTTCTTAGATTAACCACTTCATTGTTATAAAATGACCTTTTCTGCTTCTTGTTACAGTCTTTGGCTTAAAGTTTATTTTTTTCAATGTATAAGAACAGCTACCCCTGCTTTATTTTGGTTTGTATGAACTATCTTTTTCCATTCTCTAACTTTTCAGTTTGTATGTGTCCTTACACCTGATGGCAGCATATACTTGCATATTTTTTTAAATCTATTCAACCTCTGTATATCTGTCAATTGGAGAATTTAGCCCATTTATTTTGAAAGTATGTACTGATAGTTATGGATTTACTGTTGTCAATGATAACAAAAATGCTGTTTTGCTCTCTTTTTAATAAAATGTTGGTAAGACTTGGTGTTGGTATCTTTTGGGATGACATTTCTCCTCATGTCATTGTGTTACCAAATAAGTTGGCAGCCCTATTTGGTTCCTAATTTTTTTTCTGAAATCGTGCCAGTCTGTGAAATCAAAAAATAGGGACAACGGTGTGATTAATAATTTCTGGAGGCTCTCTCCAATCTTACGGTGCCAAACATCTGCTGGTAAGAAAGGAGGAGCACAAACTCAGTAAACATGCCCCAGGGCCTAGGCAAATACAGGTGTGAGAGCGGACTTTGAGATCTTGTGTAACTTACCTAACAACTAGTAAGGCAACTGACCTCCCTTGGTATCTTCCAACTACAAAACACAAATGTGTCTATGTTGTTTGTTTTTTGAAATAAACTCATTCTCCCTGGGGATCTGGCCTGTCAGGGAGACTGCTTCAAACCAAGCTTCCCTGGGTCTGAGTGTGACTGTAGGAAGTGCTGGTGAAGATGAAGTACAAAGGACTAGTCACATAGCATGGTGGCTCACATCTCTTGGGTTCTCATTTCTTTTCATGGCTCCTTCTAACCAGACCGTGCAGTCCGAGGGCAGAGAGGGTCAGGACAATCTTTATTTTTCTTCGTATCCGCAAAGCTAGCAACATGACACACAAAAAATAGCCCTCTAAAGGTCACTGGAAGGCGAAATGAAACTTATTCCTCAGAATGTGTGAGGCCTCAGCCCTGACTCAGGAACTGAGCAGGGCAGGAGAAATCCCAGTTGCTCTCACTGCAGGGCTCCAGTCTCATCCGCCTCACTTTACCTCCTGCATATATGTTCACACAATGGAAGTGATATGCTTTGTGGGTTCTTGCAGAGACCACAGCTACAAAAAGGTGAGTCCATGAAGCAAGAGAAAAGTACCTGCTTTTCTGTCTGGGAAGAGTTAAGGGTGTGCATTCGTCAGGGCTCTCCAGAAAAACAGAATCAACAGGAGAGACACAGACATGTTGCTGGTCAGTGTCAGGCCTAAGCCACAAAGGCCGGGAAGAGGCAAAAGCGATTTGCTAAATGCTGTTCCAGACTCGTCCATGTTTTTGCTGGCTAGCAAGTAAACTTATCCTGAGCGCTACAGTCAGGCAACTGCAGAACTCCTACTTCACGAGGGCTGGTTTTTCTTCAGTTTGCCGTTGAACGTGAGTGGAGGATGGAACACTCTTGGCTGTTCTACTGTCGGTTTGGCCTTGCACTGTGGTCATCACCTTTCCTTAGATCAAAAGTAAGCAGGTATTGATTGTTTTTCTCTTTTTTTCTTTTCTTTTTTTTTTTTACTGTTGTTCAGCTACAGTTGTCTCCATTTTCCCCCATTGCTCTCCCCTGCCCCATCTAACACCTGCTCCCAAAGACAATCCCCACCCCGTTGTCCTTGTCCATGGGTCCTTTGTACATGTTCCCCTTCCTTCCCCTGTTTTTCCCCTCTACCCCTATCTGGTCACCGTCAGTTTATTCTTCATTTCCATGTATCTGGTTCTCTTTTGCCCATTTGTTTGTTGTGTTGATTAGGTCATAGGTGATAGGTAAGAGTGTATGATATTTGTCTTTCACTGCCTGGCTTATTTCACTTAACATAATATTTTCCAGTTCCATCCATGCTGTCGTGGAAGGTAGGAGTTCCTTCTTTCTTTCTGCTGTGTAATATTACATTATGTAAATTGTGGTTTTAATTTTCAACTCTCTGATGGCTAGTGATGCTGAGCATCCTTCCATATGTCTCTGGGCCCTCTGTATGTCCTCCTTGGAGAAGTGTCTGTTCAGGTCCTTTGCTCACGTTTTAATTGGATTATTTGTCTTCCTGGTGTGGAGTCATGTAAGTTCTTCATATATTTTGGAGATCAAACCCTTATGTGAGGTTTCATTAGCAAATATGTTTTCCCATACAGTTGGTTCCCTTTTTATTTTGCTGATGTTTTCTTTAGCCGTACAGAAGCTTTTTAATTTGATATAGTCCCATTTGTTTATTCTTTCCTTTATATCCCTTGCCCTAGGGGGATGTATCAGTGAAAATACTGCTGCATGGAATATCTGAAATTTTCCTGCCTATATTCTCCTTGAGGACTTTCATGGTGTCATGATTTATATTTAAGTCTTTTATCCATCTTGAGTTTATTTTGGTGTATGGTGTAAGTTGGTGGTCTAGTGTCATTTTTGTGTGTGTGTGTACCTGCCCAGATCTCCCAACACCATTTTTATACAACATTTGTGTACAAATGTTGGTTAGTAAAGCTGCTGTATCCTGCCTGGATGCACTGGCTTGCACCCCCGGGTCCCTGCTAAGCCTTGGGTACGTCTCAGCTCCCTTTTTAAAAGAGTGTTTCTACGGCCCCATGCTGTAGTGAGGGTCCCCAGGGGTCCTGTTCTCTATGTGCTCCCTCTCCCCCCAAAATTAGTCTCCCACAGTCACTGCCGGCCACCTCCTTAGAGGGCCTCTGACCATTTTAGATAAAGTTTATCTCTGAGTCTTTCTCAGATGGCATTGGGAAGATCCCCTCAGCTCTACTATAACACAAGGCAGTGACAGCGTACAAGGCAATGACAGGGTGATGTCCCTGCTTCCTCCTCTTTAGAGAGGTCTTTAGCCTCAGGCCTGCCTGTTCCTGAAGCCCGCACCTCCCAGGCCTTCTCTTGCTCCCCCAGTAGCTCCTGGGTCCTGAGCCAATGTGCAGCCACCCCAGTTCGGTGCAGCCAGCAGGGCTGGGCTGGGCAGCAATGGCAGTCCGCCTAGAAAGCCCAGGGCCGTTGGCCTCCGGCACCCCGCAGGCAGGCCGGTGTCTGCATAGTCCTGTACTGGCCACACTCTCCTCCGCGTACGCTCTCCCTCACAGACACTTTTACTCGCTCTCTGCTCTGAGTTCTGACTTCAAACCTGGTCTGTGTCTCAGAGCAGATGGATAGAGCTGCCCCCTACCCTGCAGCCATCTTGGATTCTCCAAAATCAGGCAGGTATTGAATACTAGTAATGGGCTCACAGCGAGTGACCTTGACCGATTTTTCTAAGTAATTTTGTATTTTCAGCAGGGAAACCAAACTGGATCTTCAGCTTTATGCTCATTTCCTGCAAGGGAAGAAGAGGCTCTATACTATTGGACATTTTGGTTTTCCTCTTTGAGAATTTTAACCTTCTTTTGTATCATTTCTACCTAATTTGTAAACATTCATTGTTACCTGCTTTTTTAAATGCTACCCTTACTTTTTCCAGTAAAAAATTCTCATCTAACACTGGTATGCATATTTATGTAAATGAGCTAGAGAGAGAGATTTATTATTAGTCTTTTGCTCATATGATTATGGAGGCTGAGACATGCCACAAGCCACTGCCTACAAGCTGCTGACACAGGAAAGCCAAAGATGTAGTCCCAGTCCTATTCCAAAAACCCGAGAACCGTAAGTGCCAATGGTGTCATTTCCAGTCTGAGGGAAGGAGAAAACCAACGTTCCAGCCCAACCAGCCATGCAGAGGAAGCAGATTCCCTCTTCCCCTGTCTCCCAGCCTCCCAACCTCAGGCCCAACAGATTGAATGCTGCAGAGGGCAACCAGCTTTATTTAGTCCACCAACTCAAGTGCCGGTCTCTTCTGGGAACAGAGATACACACAGGACTTATGTGTAACTAGGTATTTTGGCATCCCCTGCCCCGTTCAAAGTGACGCACACAGTTAACCTGTATTTGCATCACAGAGTGCAGTGTGCTCATCACAGTGACTATGTTTATTTTCTCCACAGTGAGGTCAGCAAGAACTCTCTGGAGAAAATCCTCACACAGCTGAAATGCCATTTCACCTGGGACTTATTTAAGGGAGATGTCTTGCCTGATCTAGAAGATAGAGTGTGTAACCAGACTGAGTTTTTAAACACTGAGTTCAAAACTACGATGTACAATTTCTTGGCCTATATAAAACACCTACGCGGTCAAAACGAGGCAGCTCTGAAATGCCTACAGAAAGCCGAAGAGTTAATCCAGCAAGAGCACGCTGACCAAGCAGAAATCCGAAGTGTGGTCACCTGGGGAAACTACGCCTGGGTCTACTATCACATGGGCAGGCTCTCAGAAGCTCAGGCTTATACAGACAAAGTCAAACAGGTGTGCGAGAAGTATTCCAATCCTTACAGTATTGAGTGTCCTGAGCTTGACTGTGAAGAAGGGTGGACCCTGCTAAGTTGTGGAAGACAGCGAACTGAAAGGGCGAAGGTATGTTTTGAGAAGGCTCTGGAAAAGAAACCCAACAACCCAGAATTCGCCTCTGGGCTGGCAATCGCAATGTACCGTCTGGAGGAGAAACCACCAAATCAGTTCACTGTCAGTGTTCTGAAGCAGGCTATTGAGCTCAGTCCTGACAATCAGTATGTCAAAGTTCTCCTGGCCCAGAAATTGCAAGCGATAAATAAAGAAGCCGAAGGGGAGCTTTTGGTGGTAGAGGCCCTGGAGAAAGCCCCTTGCCAAACAGATGTCCTTCTCAGTGCAGCCAAATTTTACCAAAAAAAAGGTGATCTAGACAAAGCTATTGAACTCTTTCAAAAGGCATTGGAATCCTTGCCAAACAATGCCTACATCTATCACCAGATTGCATGCTGCTATATGGCAAAAGTGAAACAAATTCAGAATGCAGAGGACTCGGAAGCTAATAGGAATAAAGAGAAGATTGAAGAACTAAGGAAACTTGCTAGGGATTATTCAAATAAAGCTATTGAAAAGGGACTAAATCCTTTATATGCATTTTCTGATCTCACTGAGCTGGCAGCAGAAGAATGTTATAACTCATCTTTCCCCGAGGCTGAGAGGAAACAACTCCAGGGCCCTTCCAACTTTCAGGAGTATCAGGGGAAGCCTGAAGACACTCCCATCCTACATCATTTAAATGCTTTGACCATAAGCACAAAATCGACTGAGAAGGAGAAGGTGGCATACCAACCACAGAACGGAGCCAGAAATCAGCTTCCACAAAATACACCCAATTTTTGGTATCTCCAAGGATTAACTCACAAGATGAATGGAGATCTGCAGCAAGCAGCTGAATGCTTTGAGAAGGAACTGGGCCACCTTTTGAAGGACAGCCCTTCAGGCATAAGCAGGATTTTCCTGCCAGCATCGGAGTTTGAAGAAGGCAGTGCAGAAGTGGGCCAGAGCACAGACAGCTCCCCTCTCTGTGAGCTCCCCAACTCCGGAGCTGAAACAGAGAGGAGGGAAAGGAAAGGAGAGTAGGGAGCCTGCAACCGCCATGAGGGGAAGAAGGATAGGAAGGATGAGCTTGCTGAGTGAGGTGGTTTTGTTTATATGAGGCTTTAAGGTACATCGTTAATTAGTTCTTTTCTCATGCTTGTCTCGCCAGTTCCATGCCAGCCGCACACAGTTTTCTAGTCTGCAGGTCTTATAAGAAATGACTACTAGAACCAGCACTTCAGACCTTCAAGGTGTGATTATTTACCAGTTGGCACTCAGTTCACCAGAAATCTCCCGTTTCTGCCCTTCTTGTCAAGGGTCACAGCTGGTGACTGCCTACCAACAGAATCTCACATCCTTCATCCCATTACTATTGAACCTCCTCGGCCTCCTAAAAGACTAGCTTTTGATTAACCCTGCTGTATTCTTTACATGTTGCTCTTGACTTCAGCCATGTATGTGTGTGTGTATATTTGTATTTCTGATAGCAATTACTACAATAAATATATATCAGTGATAGTATTGCTACAATAAATTGTAAAATTTCAACTCACAATAGAAGTAATTGTGTGGTTTGCATGTGTGACTAAGAGTGATGTTAATTCCCCAAGTTTCTCTTCTTTGAGATGGTGGGTAATTGCTACAGCCATGCCATGCTATTCTCACCATGTCCATTTTAGCTCCTCCTTGGAACTAACACTCTCACTCTGTAGCCAGCGCATCGTACGGCTATGAGAACTGTGACTCTCATTCTAGTTCAGGAAGCTCACCCAAGCCCAGGGCACAGTTAGCAGCTGCTGCTCTAGATGTGGGTTTTGGGGCACCCAGGAATATCTAGGCAATTGCTTCCTTGCTAAATACCATTTCACAGCCCCCCTGCTCCCCCCTCAAACTTACCATGATTATAGGGAAACATTGACTTCCAATTTGAGGTACTAAAGAGAAGAGTTTTGATGTCCCTGCTCCTTTCTCTGTACTAAATCGTGTGGAAACATACCTGCAACTGGCATCTACCAGGAGGTAGACTCTTATCCCAAGTATGCTCAAGAATGATACTCTGTTCCTAGCCAGTGTCCCCATGGTTTGGGAATCTAAGGGCAGCCATTTGGGGAAGGGGATTCTTACAAAGGAAAATCCTCACAAGAAATTGGGTAGGTTGGAGAGAGGTCCACACTTGGCCAGTCTTTGCCTGTCTTTCCTCTCCTTCACTCCTCCAGATGGAGTTGCATCTCCTAATAGCTCTTGCATTGTTTTTTCCAATGAAAAGTCTAAGTCAGCATCAGGAGTCCCCAAAACAATTTGAGGGTCTCGTAGGTTTCACTAGAAGGACTCACAGGCCTCAAAAGAGTCATACTCACAACTAAGATTTATGACAACAAAATAATACACAGCAAAATCAGCACAGAAAAAAGGCTCACGGGACTGAGAATAAAGACAATGAGGCGCAAGTTACCCAGGCCCTCTCCTGGGAGGGTCATACAGGGTCTCCCTGATTCCGCCAGCATCAAATTGCGACACCTCTTGTGAAGCTACTTAGAGATCCAAGGCCAATGGTTTCATTGGAGACTAATTTTATAGGGACCCTCTATATGCTTAGCAGGTGTCAGCATTAGCCATAGCACTTGCATAAACAATATCGATGCTTATTGGATAGGGAACAGTAGAAACACTCCAAACATCCAAGCTCCCGGATGCCAGCTAAGGGCCAACCTTGCACGCACGCCTTCCTAAAGATCATGGTCTCTGGCCTAATGCTTTTCTGCACAGTTCATTCCCTTGGTACCTTAGCTAAGGTGTCTTTAAAGCCAAAGTATTATCAGTAGGATCTCCCATGTGAAGGTGGGATTTTGCAGTACGGACCTCAGCTTTGCCCTTTACAGATCCTGAATTCAGTCATTCTACTAATTAATAAGGTCTATGTTGGAAATCTAAGTCACTTCCTCTTTGAATCCCTGTACCTTTTTACCTGGTGGCACAGCACAGCTCTGGCCAGTAAGCTGACCTGGCTCTCTTCCTGGGCTGAAGCATTATCATTATCGTCAGATGCACACATAAGTACAATCTCAGAAGACGCATATGGTGCCTCTGGAGACAGAATATACAGTTGTTCAGTTATCCCAGGCAAAACATGCTTTAGTCGGACAGTACAGGTTAATAGGCTCCCCAGGTGCAGCATTCCACTGGAAAGCTTTCAGTCCAGTCAGAGAAATTCAGGTGAGTCCTTGGTTTTAGAAGGACTGCCTGACAGTTAGTTCCAAACATGTGCTCATCCCTGACACCAGTTCATCTGCCTCATGAGTGAAGGTGACACCTGAGGTTTTCTGGGTGGAAAGTTCGGGAGCTGGCCCCCACCCTGCCACCGCACTGCCGCCCGCTATGCTCACTGGCTCAGCAGTCCGAATTCAAAGCACTAGCAGAGTTTGGAAAGGCGGAATGGGGGTGCTCTCCCTAAGCAATGATCATTAATGACTCGTGCTTCCCCAGTTGCTGAAGTTTTGTTTTCCTTCATTGTTATAAATCAAACTATCTTGTTCAACAGTCATAACTTTTCATCCTCTTTCAATTATCCCCTATTCTCCTTCACCCAGGCCTTTCAGCTGCACAGGCTATACGCAAGAGGGACAAAAGTGTTTTTACAGAAAAACATTTTATACAACCTAAACAGAAGGAGGCATTGTGTTTAGGAATGAGCCCAAAGTCCTGAATTTTTCAAAATTTTCAGAATGGGTTTATATCACTCCCCACCCTTTGTCCTGATCGTTTTTATGGTGAACCTAGAAAAGAGTGACCTTTCTGCAGTCACTCACATTTAATAATCAGACTACGTGCCTTACTAGGGTGCGCATACTAGGACAAAGGCGAGGGACATGGAGTTGAGCTATCATTCCATTCTCACAGACCAGAACTACGTGGAGAATTTGAAAAGAACAAGTCAACAGCAATGAGAGAGCCTGGAGAGAGGTCCGTGGCCTAATCTGTCAGGAGTGGGAGGAGAGGGTCATGCTCCCTGTAGTGTGTCCTCTCCCAACTTGCAGCTTTCAGGAAGAATCACTAGTCAGAAATCAGCTAGCTTCTGTATCATGAGGCCTATGTTGAGCTGAAAGCACCTGAGAAAAAGCAGACACAGGATGAGCTCTCTGCATTCCCTGTCTGCCTGAAAGCAGATGAATTCCCTGTCGCAGGGAGCGACCTGTTGCGGGGAGCACCGCAGTGGAGCGCGGGGCTCCTGGATCTGAGGGTTAGTGTCCAGAGCCAGCTGAGGAGGGAGCGGGGCTCTGAATCCTGCAGAGCCCGTCCTGGGGTTGTCACGGATGGGGGGAATAAACATGAGTTGAGTCGTTGCAAACACCTCTCTGTTTGCCAGGGGAGGGGACGTCGCTCGTCCCCTCTAGGGGAAAGAAGGCCCTGAATCCCCATGTCCACAGGCTTTTATTGAAAACAATATGCACAGGGGTATACAGTGAAGCTCATCAATCAATGTCAAAAGGCTATGTTTACAGAAAACAAACAGAGAGCATAGATAACAATTGGAGGAACACAAGAGATCTGCCTCAGGTCAGGGTCTATGAATAATGTAAATCTCCTTTCCAGTATGAGCCAGTTATCATAGCTTTTGAGGGAAGAACAAGCACACTTAGAGGAACTTCCTTCTAGGCCTGATTGTCCCCCTGGGAACCGCCAGATCCAGTTTAGGGCTGTACCTGCCTTTAGTATTGTGTCAAGCCTGAGCCAGGCGGGCAGGGTAGAGCCACCAAGAGATAAGGAGACTTCTTTCAGACAGAATGAGGACTCCGGCCATGTCCAAGCCGAGCTGAGGGGTGCAGGCCTTTTTGCCCTTTCTCCGTGTCCCCCAAGCCCTTCTCCCACTGCCCATACTGGCCGATGTCTGGCTTAGGTTTTCCCTCCTCTTGAGAGAACTTACCCGTCATCAACAACCGACCATCACAGGGCCAAGCAGGGTGATGTGAGGGAGGCAGGGGCTGCACCCCTGCCAGGGGGACAGGTTTTGTGTCCTCAGTGGCCTGTTTTCCCAAGGCCTCCTTGATTATTTCCAGCCTTGGGGCCCTCTTGCCTGTGAGCAGGGCTACAGTCCCTGAAACCAGACAGGGCGTTTCCCAACAATTCCCCATGTAAATGTGCCCTGCCCTGCCCAGTTCTGTACCAGGAAGAGATAACAGTCTAATTACCAGACAGGAGATGGCACCAAAAAGAATACACAAAAACGAACCTTATCTTCCTAGTTCTTATGTTCCATAATTTCCTCCATATGCTTACCTTCCCACAATTTGCAGCCCCTGGTAGTTCAAAGTCTCTTCCCTTTGTCTTGTCACTTTTCTACAAGTGTATTGTCCTTCTGATAAAATACTATATAAGCTCAAGGTCTAAGCAGGCCTCCGAGAGACTCATCACTGGGTACCTGCATGAATATGGATGATGCACATGTTACTGAACTTCTGTTTGTTTTTCTCTTGTTCATTTGTGTTTTTTGTCAGTCTAATTTGCAGGCCCCATCAAAGAACCTCAGATGGATAGAGGGAAAATATTTTTTTCCTTCCCTACAATAAAAAATAGAGAGCTGATCTGCTGCTATATTTCAGATGGTCCATCAGAGCAGTGTCCTTTCCTGTGGACATTTGATCGTCCCAGAAAGTTGATGTTTTTATAAATTAGGGCTCCACAGAGGGGTGTCCTATGTGTGCAAAGGTCCCAGAGTCAGGTTCTGTTCACTGAGACCTCTTTTAGGTCAACACAGCAAAATCTAAAGCTAAAACAACTCAGCAACAGCCCCCAGGTTTTAGCTTGGAGTCCAGTCCAGGCAGTTAGGATCTGTAAGTTCCAGATTCCAAGAGGCAGATGATTTTTTTTCTTTTTTTAAAAGAGTTTATTTATTTTTAGAGAGAGGGGGAGAAAGTGAGAAAGAGAGGAAGAGAAACATCATGTGAGACAGAGACATCGGTCGGCTGCCTCTTGTAGGCATCCCGACCGGGGACTGAACCTGAAACCCAGGCATGTGCTCTGAAGGGCGACCTTCGCTTTGCACTACCGTACCCAACAAGGTGAGCCACACCGGTCAGGGCAAGAGTCAACTGCTTTTCTTCCGGCAGCAGCAAAGCCTGGACAAGGCTGGACCAGCCTGCCGTGGTCTTCCAAGGCTTTCCTAAGCCGTTTCTGTCTTGTCAGTCTTAGAATTCTAATTGGCTCACTCAAAAATGCGCATATCAGCTTGGAAAATCAGCAGCCTCCAGGTGTCAGCATCTGATCTCACAAGGGCTCATTAGCAACTAACACCCGCTTTCTCCTGGAAATTTCCTCTTCTTAGATGGTCTCCCTTTTTCCAGAGGCTACCAAAGGTGAGCATGATAGCAAAAATCATGCCTTAGGGGACTTGTTTTGTTTTCAATACTCAACAAGTTTGAACTCCAGCCCCTGCATAAGCAGCAAAATGGGAAAAACTGGTGT